AGCATAGGCTCCTTCAGGTAAGCTGAAACATGCAGCCACGCCTACACCCGATCTCAGGGATATCGAGTATACATGGGTACACATATGCAGCCGTTCTTCGGTAAGATGCCTACGGGAAACTCGTCCGAAATCGATTTTGAACACATTGAGAACGGAGGCTTTTTCTTCGCAGGATTTTGACCGTTTCACTCCGTTCTTTCGCCATTTCCCCACTATACAGCGCCCTACTAGCATTTTAGGCTAAGTAGGAAACCATCGCGCCAACTGCCTTTAAGGCAACCGTGATTCTGTCTTATGCTGTGAAAGGATGTGACTGGAAATGTCCCGAAAAGGCAATACACCACCAAGTGCGCTTCGGTCGCCACATTGAAATGATTTCCGCCGCCACCCTCCCAAGCTCCGCGATATGGAGTCTTGTGCTGTTTCTTGTACGTAGTATGTGATCTGCTGCTTTCTCTCAACCATTTAGGGATGCTTTCTCCCAAAAATCTCCTGGCTTCAACTCGAAGAAGTTGCTGAGCCTTCTCGAGTTCCTCGTCGTAGCTGGAGCCCTTCACTCCGTTCGACATTGACCGGAGAAGGGAATAAGCTGTTTGTGAAAGATCCAGAGTGGGAGCTGCAACAACACTTATCTCATTTCCTGTACGGGGCTTGGCAAGCCTTGCGGTCAAAGTGGAGCTGTGGTGGAGCAGGATAGCTTGACGTTCAGCATGGTGTCTTTTTGGCTTGATGGTCCCCTGTTCCAGCGCCACAGAAAGGGTTTGACTACGTTTCATCCTTTTCCAGCAATTACCAATACACTAGAACCTCAAAAATCTACCAAAAAGTCGGCCAGAATGGGGCATGGGGTCAGATTGAAACTGACATTATCATCTCACGCTTTTCCTCCTCTTTCCCCTATTCACACCCCCTGTCGTGCTTTCTTCGCATCACCCACACCTCCATGCCCCCCCCCCCCCCATCAAAACCAGCTAATCCGTTTACTCCTATCAAATGGCTCCCTAATATTTATTTACTCTCTGTCCGCGAGACGAACAATTGAAAGCAGCCATTGTGCAAGTGTGCGTTTTTTTAACTTCACTCCTCTCCCCCTTTGCCCCATCACCCCCAATCTGACGCACCAACTCACCCTGTTTGGATGGATGGAAGGTTTGGGGCCTCAGATGGCTACATCCTGGGAATTTAATTACCGGATATGTGTCCCGCGACGCCGCCATCAACCATTAGCCACCTCCCCCCCCCCCTCGCCCCTACAATCTCTTGCTGCACTGGAACTGAACAGCTTCTCATGGTTGCGGTCAAAGGCTGAAAATTCACCCTGAATTGTTCACTTGCATGTTTCCCCATTCAATGAAGTGAGGAAGTAGTCGACCTTGCGACAGTTGGCACCAAATAATCTATCCCTACCGTGACTGAGGACCTAAATGTCTTCAAGG